AGATTGCTGGAGACCTAATTTTTCATTTCTAATAAAAAAGGAAGCCTTGCCCTTTTCCTTGCAAAGATAGACTTTGAAGTGTTAGTAGGGAAACAAAGAATGTATCCATCAAAGGCTCTCATGGCGTAGTTATACAAAGCTTCCCAGGACAGTATGGAAGCCGACAGAGCCTGTTAATGTGCAAGAGGAAATTAGCTGAACTTTTCTTGCAAAGACCAGCAAGGCAGAAAAGCTTGGTAGCTGCTGCCTAATCTAGTATTAAAGAGACCAGCTCCTTACTCCATCACAGATTTTCCAGGTAACTTTGAACATGTCAAACTTAGCTTCAGTTCTGCACCTGGAAATGAAGATAAATACTCTCAACTTCCCTTACTGTGACATGAAAATAAACACATTAAACCAGAAGGCATTCAAATAGCTTGGCAGTAAAGTACAAGTACTGCAGACAAATAGGAAATAACAAAGTACTGCCCCATTCAGTGAGGAGATGCCCTTTTTTTTTTTCCAAATCCTTCTTGCCTGCTGGGATCCTGTAATGCCTTCGTGATCTTCCCTCAAACAAAAGGGAGGTTCACAGGGCAGGGAAGCCAGGGGAGGAAAAGCGCCTTATGCTTTCCCACCCAGCGCAAGTTTACATATAAAAGACACTAAAGCATCACTGTTCCCAACACTCAAATTTAAGAGGCTATTTTTCTTAGACATTTAGCAGAAAGGCTCTTCTGCAAACAACTGAGAAGAGAGACCTGACTCAGCTGCCTTGGACTGACCCAAGGAGACCGCATGTGTTTCCTCTCACTACATACAAAACCACTGAATAACTTGGGCATCCACAATGTCAAGAGGCTGCCCTATCCCTGGGCAGTGGGAAGGACTCTGCAAGCTCCCTGGCACTGAGACTGATCAACAATACTTGAAGGGGAAAAACCTGCCCTGAATTTACCTCCAGAGGCAAACAGTGGGATATTTACACTGAGAGAACTTTGTGAGGACTCTTCTTATGTGCAAAAGGTTTTATTTACTATGCTTTAACAAGACAGTATTTGATTTACAACTAAGGGTGCATTTTCCAGAGAGCTTCAAAGGAAAAGAATAAATAAATAAAATAAAAAAGGTGCATGTGTGTGGGATAAAAGACATCTACCATGGAAAATGTTGCCATTAAAAAAACCCCTCCAGGTGGTAGCACTGGAAAATATTACAGACAAAATAATGGAGAGCTGTACAGGTTTCTTTAACAGTTGTATACAATAAAAAGGTAAACAGAATGAAATGTGCTTTAATTAAAACAAACTGATATCCCACCTGCAAAATAACAGCCAGGCTCAAATTGTTCCTGAGTGACCCCAGGGCAGCCATGGGCTACAGCCAAGCCTGTAAGTCACTCAAACACCCTGCCCAGCTCTTCCCAAGTTCTCACTCCCAGGAACGGCAGGACCAGCTAAAGAGCCCTTTGTTTCCATTCAAACATATGTAGGGGTGGAAAAGCTGTTCAAAACATTAAAGAGAAACAACTGAGGACTGTTACTATTCCAAGAAACAAATTAAGAGCCAGAGTCTAAAATGCCCAGAGCGCTGGCACTGCCAGCTGAAGTCAGATGTCACTGGCAACACTTAGCATCGCTCAGCCCCTGGGAGAGGGACAACTGGTTCCATCAAACCTGAGGATTTAAAAATCACCATCTCCTTCAGATGTATTTTTGGCATTATATGTTTACTTCTGACACTGATAATATAGACACATTTTATAAAGAGAATAATAAATTAAAGTTTTCATAGCTAGCTCATTAAAAGGATGAAACACCTCCCAAATTCAGCTAATAGCTAGTGAGCCATCTTCCCTTTAAAACGTTAATACTGACAAGTAATATAAGCAGGGCAAATTAAAAGTTATGTCAAAGTTAGTGCACTGTAGGGTTTTGTGTCAAATAAGCTAATAAAAACCATAATCTGGTGTAAAATCAATTCAGATCTCAAACAATATATTAAACTTTCTAAAGAACTATAAATAAAAGCTTGTATTTTAGTCAAGTAAGCTTTCATGTTCTCTTTCAGTTCTATAACTTTTTTCTTCAGATTAAAAAATGTGTGTTACTGGAATACTTTGCATTTTTGCATTAATTAAACAACGCATAAGGAGAACTTAATGCTTTCCTATTTCAGGCTAAGGTTTATTCAGGCATAATTCAGACTGCACCAGTAGACTTGGCTACAGTTTTCCTCACATTTTTACAAAGGCTGGCTGGCGACACATACATTATGAAAAGAAAAGAAGAATAAGCAGATATCCATGTCAGATAAATACATTCTACTCCCTCAGATGGAACTTGCAGACAATTAAATCCTGTCTTCTCTCTCCAAACGCTTCCCACTCCTTTGGTTCTGCCACTGGAGAGAACACAACACTTCTTGTGACTTCAGCCCCTGATTACCTCCTACTATACCTCCACAAGCCACATACATACTTTGCTCCTTCTAACATATTCTTTAAGAAACAACTTCTACTTAAGAGACTAACTTGTTCCTAGATAATGTTTGCGACCTCTATAGCTCCCAATACACTCCACTGTTCATTTAGGCCACCCAAACCCAAGATTCTGTCTGCTTCCAAGGAGGATGCTGCCCTTCACTACTTCCAAGTCACCTCTTTCCTCTAAAATATATTCATCAGTCTTCAGTCTTTAACTTCCCATTCTAAATTTCTCACAAATTGCTTCATGAAAGAGTTCTATAACCAACACAATGGCAATGAACACTTTGAACTCAGTAAATCTACTTAAGCACTGTATATAAATCCTGAAATGTTACAAATACTCTATGTCCTTTGTACAGTACATTATATAGTGTATTTCTCCTCACTGCATGCCATTCTCTGCTGGCTTCTCCAGAAGATCAAAACCAACTGCAAGCTCATTACCCTGAATGTGCATCTTCATTCTTGCTAAAGCAACTTGTCACATGGGCATCCTCTACACATGCTCTGGACCAAAGGCGCTGGGAACATCCCTGCTTCCTGTAGCAGAATTCCATATTGCCAGCTGTAGGCTGGACACAAACATAACACGTCAATAATGATGATCATAATCTGTGGAGGCTTGAACATATTTCAGTTTCAAAGGTCATCAATATGCACCTCAGGTTCCCAAGTTTTTAATGAAAAGATTCCAGAAAAGGGACTTGTATTTCAATGTTCATAATCCATAATTTCTTTGGGATTTGTTCTTTAAACTACACTAGACTTTAAATACTAAGAAAACCCAAACCAGACAAAACAAGGAAAAAAAAAACAAAGCCACACTACCAAAGCAAAAAACACACCAAACAGCAGAACACAACAAGCAGCTGAACTCACTCTCCAAAAGGTAACAATTAAATTCGTATCTAATGGATTAAAAAATAAAAGTCAACACTAAGAAAATTGAGACAAAGTCATTCACTTCACTACTACTTCTTGATTCCCAGGCAGCACAGTAACAATGCAAGTCAAGCAGGAGTACTTTGTGATACTGATATAGAAAGACAAGAGCACATCTTTGCAGCCTGACTCATACTCCACATGAAACAATAGCAGTAAAGTATCATACGTGATATTATCTCCACTTAACAAAAGAAGTTGGGAAATTAATTTAGGTACTTATGAAGTGTCAACCGGACCAGTATATCTCGCACATAAGTGAGATATATGCTGAAGTACTTTAAAGAAGGTTGGAGAACAAGCAAAGGACTTCTCATTTGTTTGCTAGAAAAGTTTAGCCCCCTTTGGTTACTGATGGCTGCTATATTGCAATGCACCTGATTGCCTTTTACAGCTGATACTGTTTCCAAAGTTTTATCATCACTATCAGTGGGGAAAATGGATATGCATATTATGACTGAGCTATCATTCAGTAGTATCAAAGAATGACTGCAAATATATTAAACTTTTACATGGGTATAAAAAATATTGGTAATGCTTTTAAATCAACACTGTATTTATGGCAATGATAGAGTTCTACTGCTGACACAGAAACTTTACATTAGAAACAACCAGTGTAATAGTTAAGCCTTCCTTTGAATTCTGTTATTCCTGCAAAATTATTTTTCTAATTGGGCAAATGCAATGAACACAACACTACCAGAAAGCACTAATTTTAGAATACTGAGTGTAGTTTCTGGAAATAAAAAAAAATAAATTTCAATCTTAAAAGGAAAGCTAAGCTCTTAAACTGCTAAAAAAATATGAGAAGAGCAATCAAGAAAAAGCAACAAATCAAACGGAATACTGACGATATGCACATGCTGCTTTAAAGTAGAAAAGAACTAAACACATAAATAATTATTTAATAACAAACTCTAAGCTCCAGCAACTGAAACACAATATAAAAGAACTATAAATATGTAAAACAAATAAATTTGCATGGTCATTACAACCCATGTAAGCTTTAAATATTAAAAAATACTTTAAATACTTTAAAGTAAGTTCTACAAAACAAAATTAGGGATGACGCAGAGCAAGAAGTACTCACTTGCAAATATGGCTTGTGTGCAATCCCACCTCCAGCCACATGATTTCCTGAATGATCTCTGAGCAAACTTTAGAATTTATCAAATGCCTTTCCCCCAAAACTAAAATGGGAGTGATACTGACCTTCCCATAAACAGTAAAAGAAGGAAATCCAAGTATCTCGATGGAAAAACCTACTGGAATTTCAATCTGTTCTTTAATGCTGACGCTGCAAGAGGCTTGGGGTTAATATTCATTTGTTTTTAAACAAGAAAAACAAAATAAATTTACACCGCAAACAAGTAATCCCAAGTAAAGCACAGGAAAAGTACAATTTTGTACGAGGAAAAAATGTTGAGAAAAAAAGAACTTTAGAGTTACTGATGGGAAGTACAGTGATATTTATAGCTCCTTGTAAATATCAATATTGTATATGTAGAAAGGAACAAATTTTACTTGAACTCCTACTTAATTCATCATATAAAACCAACAGTGAAAAAGTTTCCTCCTAATCACTTACCTTTTCAAATTCTGAAACCAGGTTTAACCGGGAGAGTCGACTTGCTGAAAGTATGTCTTTATTAAATATATTTTTATTTTTTAAATGTGAAAGGATACGAGGAGTTCCTTCTGTCCTACACACCAGGTAGAGACATGCAGCAATTACATGGGTCATCTTTCTCCCCCGGGTTAGGTGTTTGCTTACAGCCATCTTGAAAAAATTAAAAGCTGTATCCAGACAATGTTGATTGAGTTGAAGCTGGTTTCCCAAGTGGTGAATCTGACGTTTCCCTAGAAAAATTAACAAAGAAACAAAACAAACAAACAAGAGGCTTAACAACTTTATAGTTCATGTGCTTTGGGGTTGTTTTGTTTGTTTGGGCTTTTTTGCGAGGTCGACTTGGGGTTTTTTTCAAAATTGAAGGGGCATATTTTGGATATAATCTCTGTGTGAAATACAATAAGCTCCCAAGTTTCAGGAATTATATATCCTCAACTACTGAGGAGAAAGAAATGCCTCGTTTTGAACTGCTAGAATTGAAATACATGCAATCAATGAACCCTGGAAAACAAAGCTACAAACACCAGCCCCAGAAAGGATCTAGAACATAGTCAAGACTTTACAGACAAAAGATGATGCCCCCTTCCCTTAACATCAATTGACAGTTCGCACTGGTTAGCAGTACATCAGTATAGCTGGAAACAGGACTAAGCTGAAAACAGGACTGAACTGAAAACAGAAGCTCATGGCATGCTTGACACTGACATGCAGAGGAAACATTTTGCTGCAGCTCTCCAAGAAGCGATGAAGTCTGCAGTTCCTCTAGGCACAACTGAAGCCCACAAGGAAAAGAGATCTGCTTGGAGTTTGCCCATGATCACCACGGATCGAAGGTACTTCCTCTGAAGCCTATCACACCCAGGGCCTTCATTTCAGGCTTGGCTGCCAGACTGCTGAGATTAGACTGTGGCTTCAGAAAAACAAACGTGCCTTCACCCTTAAATGAAACAATAAAAAGAGTGTGTTTTGGATGATTCATGACAGGAAGTGGTACAGCTGCTGGGACAGATGCGGGAAACGAGGTCCAGTGCATCCTCACAGCTTCAGCTTCGGAAGAGTGCGCCGAAAAGACAGCTTAAGAAGAAGCTGGGGGAAGTCATGAGGAAAACAGAGTACTGGAGTTTGTCAGCATACGGGGTCAGAAGCCACATCAAGAAAAATCCTTTAATTCAATGTGCTGGGAAGATGTTTCCAGTACGTGTATTTACAGGAAGAGTTCATCTGTTCCTTTCAGAGATGTCTTGAGTAGCTTTGTTGAAGGAGGAGGCACAATATCTGCCCTACACCTCGGCCACCACCACTCACAGAAAGTGATGGTGACCACACAATGCTTACCAGATCAACATCAGACATCTTAATTTATGCAAATCCCTACATCATCATCACTAACAATACAGTAAAAATGCTTCACCTCTGAGCAAATTTCTGCCAAAGATGCTGTTTCAATTCAGCTTTAATAAAAAGTGACTTCAGACATTCAGCCAGGGTCAGCAAGACTCCAGCCAAACAGAAGCTGCCACAAACCAACAGCTTCCTCTTCCTCCCTATGTGGCAATTAGTGTCCTCATCAATGAGATCTCCTTTAAGGCATAGTGGTCAACCAGGTATAATGCATTCGGATGAAGAAGTAACCACAGAGGAAGGATACATCACCTTCCACAGGAGGTGTGTATACAATAGGCTACTTAAGAGGAATACAAAGCCCGTTATGTGAATGGTTTCTCCACTGCTATCAACAGGTCCTGGGCTGGTACACACTAGCCTCAAATACAAATACCTCACCTTCCCAAAACTAAGCTACTAATTAGCACTTGCCCTCCCCTGATTTTTATTTCACACTCTATAACCTATGTGCTGAAGGGGAATCACAATTTTATGTACCCAAGAAAGAATCGATTTATACTCATCTGTGGGCAAAAAAAAGCATAAATGTACTTGGCATTGAGTATTACAACTCATTTCTGCAGTGGCAGCAAAGCAGCTTCCCTGATCAACCCCTACCAAAACAAGTCCACTCTAGAGGCCAGCACAGACCAGCAAGGCTATGGAAAGCTGCCTCTTCTTATCACCTGAGCTTCCTTTTTTATCTGGTTGCATTTGCCATGTGTGGCTGCTGAGACAAAGACACAAAGAACCATCATCTGTAGAGATTTTGGGCACTACATGCAGACATACAACCATTTAAAAATACTTAAAAAAAAAAAAAAAAAAGAAAAAAAAAAGAGATAGACATGCCCATGCCTGTGAACCTCCCTCAGCTGCAGGGAGATCCAGACTGGAATCACTGCAGCAGCAACAGCACAGCATTCCCTTTAGGTAAGTTGGTGCAGTTCCGTGTCCTCAAAGTCACAAAGGCAGCTGGTAACAAACAATTTCAGTGGTTTTGTCAGCTGAATTTTGCTTTTAAGTAAAGCTTTTGTAAAAAGATGAAGACGACAGGGACTGCAATGCCAAGGAAGAGCCACATTCACTCCTGAATGCTTCTTGTGCTAATGGTGGAATGGTGGTATGCAGGGCCCACCTGGCTCCACAGGACCAGCATTGTGCAGGACACCAAGAAAGAAGAGGTGATGAGGAAGCCTCCCATGCCATGACAGGAGCTGATGTGGTCCAGGGCACACACCAAAGAACAGCCCATATGAATGGAGACGCAGAGCAAGAACAGGACAAGCAACCATGAGACACCACTCTCATTCAGGACTCCAAACCTCAGAAGGCACTTGAGAAACAAAGAACATACTAGAAGAAGAAGGGGGAAGCTCTCCATCCAGCACCAATATTCTTAACATGCAATTACTTTAGGGTTAGCCAGTCATTGGGTACTCATCCACTTAGTAAATCTATTTCTTTGACAGTCTTACTCAACCTCCAGCAGACCACTGAAGGCTTTAATTCTGTGTGCTAGTACTCCCTCAAGCTGCTTTGCAGCATTATGTCAGTCATGCAGCTTGTGGAAAATTAGACCACTGTTACACTTCCATTGATCCCCAAAATGAACAGCTTAACACAGGACAAGAAGTGCCTTAGAAATTATGTGCATCTTGATAACTAACTTGAGTTTGTCCTTATCTGTTACATGAGAGAAAGAAATGTACTGCTTATAGCATCATCTGAGATAAATATTTATATTCTGTAACCAGTCTCCCATTTACCAAAGATAGATCAAAAGCTTTGTTGTTCCCCAACACCCCTTGAATTTAACACAACTGCAAAATTCTATTTTTCTGGTATCTTAGGCAACACAAAAAAAAACAAACCTGGAAAAGTTAGTACCAGCAATCGTGCTTCTAGATTTTTTTGCAGGAATACAAAATACCACGTAGTCAAAACAGTGGGAATATCCAACATTGCAATGCAATTTATTAGCAATCTGCTCAGCTCTGTATTCACCAGATTACATACAAACTCAAACTCATTGAACTGTTCCACTGGATAGAAAAGAACTGACACACTTTTAAACCCTGCTGCACTCTGTGTTATAAAACAAAACTCAAGACAACAGCTTCCCGACTTTCTTATCCATTTTATCCAGCAAAATGTTTCATTTTTTAAAAAAGTTTGAGTGGAACACTATTCTAAAAATTTGCAGCTATTATCTCAGTACTGTAAAGGAATATCATCCCACGGAACAGTCAGAAATATGTACGCATTGTTTTCTAAACTGCCAGGCAAGAGTACAAGATATAAGACAAAATACACAGGGATAAAAATAAGACTCTTAGTAGGCATATATTTTATTTGTAACTTGCAATAGGAGTTGCCTCTTCTGGGCCCTACAGGTTTTTTGACAGATTCTAGGATTCTTTTTTTAAACCAAAGGCAATAGAGCCTTTAAGGCTTCGTGTTGCCCTTGAAATTTAGTAATGACATTAAAGCAGTGTCTAGGTATCCTAGGGAAATGGACAAGGAGCAGCGTCTTTCTAAAACAAGCAGCACAAACTCACAAACAAGGTTACAAAAAACCTTCCCTCACCAGCAAAATAATAGAATAATTCTTCTTTAAAGAGAAAAATAAGTCCAGAAACTACAGAAATTTTGTGACATAGAGGACATATACCAGACAGTTCCCATTTATTTCCCAAAGGCTTATAATGCCATCAGGGTGGAGGGCAAGGCAGGGGGATGCAGGGGAAGAGAGGTAAAAAAAAAAAAAAAAGGTTGCACTTTAAGTAAGACAAAAATCAAGTTCCCAGGCTACCAAGTAGTAAAGTTTATCACGCTCCTGAATCTGCATCTAAAAACAAAAGGCCCTTTTCACATTTTAGTTCCAAGCCTACTAAAAAGTGCTTTTACTCATTTACTCCCAGCATGCTGAAAGAAATAACATCATCTTCTCAACCAACGCCAACCTCAGTGCTTTGAGCTGGCATATTAGACCTGAACTGATAGGACCACTGAATGCTACTACAGAAAATTTCTATTCTTTTGATGGAGGAAAAAGTGGTTACTACAAAACAAAATGCGTTTTGTAGGGTAAAAATCACCATCATAAAAATAGATTTGCAAGAAATCTTGGAAATACTAAACACTTACACAAGAGCCAGTTGATAGCAAAACTACAGCTTAAGTTATAATAGCAGCAAAATACAGAAAGGGGGAAAAAATCAGACCCATTCTTTACAAGCAATTTTCTTTCTTTTATGATCTTGGTACTACAGAAACATCTTGTTCTCTTCCTCTATTCAACAGGAATCACACCTTTTTTGGATCCCTTAAAAGTCAGTAATGTCAAGCAGCTACAGCTATATATTACTCTTTTCTGGCTTTTGCTTGCTCATCTGCATCCCTCCCCTCAAACTGACAGAGACTGTAACACAGCTATTTCAAAGCAGTACTTTTCCATATGAAGCATCAGTTTCCCAGGAAATAACAGGCAATATACAGCCAGAACTTAAATTTATTGTTACTATGATACCAAACCACATCCACAAAATCCAGGCATATAGATTGCCCCTCCCTTTTTCTGCAATTTGCTCTAGGGGCCCTGGAAACTAGTACTCCCTGGACCTGGCAGTGGAGTCATGTTAACAGCACTAATCCTTTCTGGGGGGTTTTGGGGTTTGGTTTGTTGGGTTTTTTTGCAAAAAAAACCACTTATGGTAACAAACACCAGCTTCTATTAAAGGAAGCATTTTGAATGGGTTTGCTTGGGTATTCATTTCCAGAATGTGAATTACTTTACCAACTGAATTTTATGTGCAGATTTTATTCTGCATTTGGGTTTTCATGC